TGTGGTCGAATTGAAAATAGATTAATATTGTTTGTCATTAATATTATTGATCTATAGTGCAGTTTTGGCGAATACTGTGATTATATTATTGAATTATAATAGTGTTTGACAATAGAACCATAATAATGTTTAAACTTATAATTTCAATTAATTATAGTCGAATTTCGACTACTGCGGGACCACTAGTATATATTAAAGTGTAATAAATGAATTATTTTATTTTATTATCAATGAAACTATAGTTGATCCTACGAATAACATTTATATGATATAAATTAAACACAAACTTCTATTATTATAATATATGAATTAATTAATAGGGCTTACTTTTCTTCGATTCAACTCGAAGTAAGAAGGAAAATTTAAATGAGTCCTTTTTCTTGAGGATTTAATGAAATATTTAAATGTTTTTCACTTTCGCGTTTGAATCGAGAACGTATTGACTATCACAACCACGTCCTTATCTCACGATGACGCGCCATAGACTGACTATAAGCTGCGATGTATTCTGTCGGCCGACTGCAACGGCTGCAAGTGCAGATACCTCAATTCTCAAACGTACCTAAGTCGTTCAATTATTTATATGCGAATATTTTATTTACGCTGCTGTCTGTCGATATCAAGCCTAGCTCCTGTACTATTCCGAATGCCTATAAGTACAAGCAGCTGCTTAAACATCAAATGGACAAAAATGGCAACTGCAGAACAACTCCTAGGGATAACAGATACAACTGTTTATTTGTACACAAAGTTGCAAATTTCTGGTAACGATGATTCTTTACGAGAGAGAGCTGACATTGACTGAGTGATAGATGATCAGTGTAGATGGGCATACAACATCGGCTGGCGCACTTGCTGTTCAGTCACCAGCAACCATTACATTGTCAATAAGCTACAACCCACAGTAGAATATAGAGTCAAATTTTCAAATACATGGAAGTTTCTTTTTGGGATAGAGGGATTGCTAACCACTTTACTAGAAGCGTTAGGCTAGCACGGACTCAGTCAAGAAGAGATGAAAAAGTCTACCGCATTCTTCTAACAAGTACGCACTTCTTAATGCTTAAATGGATGGACAAGCGCGGACATTGGAGTTTCGGCACGAATATCGTGTAAGATCGCAAAGTGTTCAGTAACCCTGACCACAGCATCTGCGTTCGATTCGTTTGTAGACATTTCAAATATGTACCCAAATTCTTTAGTGTCATGCCCGTAAAAGTGATTTCTCGGACGAAAAACATAACTTTCAGAATTACCGAAAATATACACGAAGGATTTCAGGACTTGAATGCTTGGCAAAAAGACGACGTTAGTAAAGATTTGAAGATTCATTTATTGTCCTTACACCTTTACATGACGTACTGCGTCGGCTAGCAGAACTTGTGTTTCTTTTTACAATTTCGATCCCACGATGTATTTCATAGTCCAGACTGTTTTGAAAGCAGTAGCAGAGCTCATCTACGTATTACTATATAACTTCTTTTTTACCTTCATCTTATAATTAAAACGAAACGATTACTTTGTTTTTCTTTTATGACTGAAGGGTTTCTGATGTCTCGGAGGCCTTTCCAGTTTCACCAGGACAGGTGGGCGAGCAAAGTCTCAGACAAGAGGGGTGGAATTTGCTAACCACTGCCCAAGCGCCTTCGAAGGAGACCTAACAACTCAAGAGTAGCTGCTTCGCGAATGAATCTGTGGCGGGTAGCCATCATACAACGCAAGATAATTGTCAGATGCCCGAATCTCGCTTACGACATTTTCAAGATAAAGCGCATATATACAAGTTCCGAACAACAACATTCGGACCGTCGGTCTACCGAGCAATATCACCCGCTCGGTGGAAGATCTTCCCTTTGTCTTAGATCTCTCCAAAAATCTACTACCGAATCGGAATCGCTACCCGCTGAGAAGATCTGGCGAGAAACTCAGCGGGCTGGTGTTTAGGTTAGGTTGCACATCGAACTCTTTGGCGAGTTCGACGAGTATGGTTACAACAAAACGTCTGTATGGCTCTTCTTTCTACATCTAATTAAGACGACGGTGGATGTAATGTAGACAGAAGTGGTTTTTACATTTAGATGTGCAACTTTGCAAAAGTCTGAATATTTTGTTGTTCACATGGAGAATCTGCTATTGATACTTCTGCTGTAAAATGCGATGGGGTCTCTGAAGCGATCCTGGCATGGGTCCCTATTTTTCGTATCCGTCAAAACATATAGTTAACGATGTGGTCATGTGGCACAAAAATACCAATAACAAATACAAGTTCAAGTGATCAGTATTATTATTTGACAGTGAACTACAAAATATATTTAAAAAATAGGAATGTAGAAACATATACAATTATGAATTGATCATCAGCTTCGCAATGTCCGTATCTTGGTCAAACATATATTTTAAGTAAAGTTCCAATTTAACAAAAAACAACTAAATCAATTGTATATTGTATGTATATTGTAGCGATTAACATAGTTAAAAATATTTTCACAAGAAATCTGCTTGCTTGTCAAAGTATAAATTAGTGCTATTGTTAGATTATTAATAGAAAAAAAAATCACCAATATAAAATAAACAAAAATGAAATAAAAAAAACTCACTGATACCATATATTTTGCATCCATTGTTAACAACCCCTGCAAAAAAAATGACAAAATGAAATAATTTTTTTTCAGTAGCATTGTTATGTTCTTAACAATTAGTTTTCACTTACAACTACATATCGAGGGATGAAAGGCTGTCTGGTTTAAGCTTTTTTTTCTCTTGTAGCCATACGGCCCACCTAATAGTGAGTGGTTACCGTCATGAATGGAATTCAGCAATGTCAGGGTGCTGTCTACCGTAAAAGCCAAAGTGACATTTGGCTTAATATGCGACATTTATCTTTGTAACAGTTTGATATTGTTTCCAAAATTTTAAACTTCAAATAGTTCTCCTGTAAAGTTGCAAAGAGGTTGCTTAAACCTATTAGCCCTTCACCCCTTGATATTATATATGGACGTACTTCAGAGTCTAATTAAACAAAAAAATTTTTTTACCGCTCTTAGATATAAACTCTTAAACTCTTAAATGGAAAGGGTTTAATGGGCAATAAATTTATTTTCTACACTACTACTTTCAACTACATAACTATTAAGAAATGTTTTAATTTGTGGACAAGCAATAAACCTTACCTTGCATAGTAAACAAAACAAAATTTCTAAAATGTAATAATATGTAGCTTTTTGACAAAATATTTTTAAAACTAAACTTTAATATAATAATAATATGTGACATATTTAATTACGTTAAACATATATCATTGTGTACCTCTGAAAGTTCACATTTTTACTGGGTCCAGGCCCAAGGTCCACTTGATATTAAGTTGTAACTAGAGTCCATACACATCAAATTAATATCTTTGTTTGTCTTTCAGTCATGATGTCGAAGTCTCAATTAGGTTGTGGGTGCTTCGCGACAGTAATGAAAAGGACATGTGCCTGTTCAAAACATGCCTTACAAACGGTAAAATGTGCCCTGAGGCTCCGTTGTTTAATTTTAAAATATAGCTTGTTCCACATTTAATTTTTGGTAAAAAATATTTAATTTTACACTTTTGTATATTATAAATCGTCGAATATTAGTTAAAAATGTTAGTTGTTACTAAAACACATTTAAACCAAAGGAGAAAAAAAACAATCTTAAAAAAAATTCATCGACAAAAACGGTTCATACTTAATGTTTTATTTTTATTCTATTAAAATTAATGAAAAAGACCGCTTACGTGCTCAGTTTCTTCTGGAATAATTCTCACAATTTAAATAAAATGTACACCATGAAATTTAAAACAATAAACATCCAAATAATAGAAAAAAAAATTAAATACTAATGTTCCAAAAGATTTAAAAACAAAACAAACTCGACATAAAAAATTTCAATCAATCTTCAGTTGACGTTATTTTTTGTTTGTTTTGACAAATTGATAGGGCAAAGGAAATGTAAATCATTCGGACAAGTTTCTTGTTAAAAGGTGAAGTCGTTGCTGTTGGTCAGAGTGAAGTCAACCTCAATATTGAAATTCATTTTTAAGCCTCTATCCTGTAGTAAAATAAAAACCTAACATGGTTAGTTCAGTGACTCCTAGATAGATTAAGTGGAGGTCTGTGAGTTAGTCCTACATCTCTTGGTAATTGATTACACTATAATTTACTTAGCATGCATTTTTATCTTCGTACTATTATGATTATTTAGCCGAAAGACGTAGACTGCAGCCCATAATTATCACCTAAGTTTCACATTGTTTTACCATTCTTATAAGCTTTCTAGAATCACTCACTGCTTTCATTTGATAGGACCCTTGAAATTGTCCTTTAAAATATTATTTTAGGCTATGTTCGATCAACGAAAATTAATAAAAGGCAGTGAGATGGCTGGTTTACCTTGGATAGGTGTAGAAATAAGGCAATGTCAAAGAAGCGGTGCGCAGAAACTTCCTCCGACGAGTGTTTTTTTCCTGCCTAAGCTGATGGGCTTGAGGGACCATTTCAGCGTAACCTTAACTAGTAGGTGAGCTCACGGGGCTCAAGCCTACGACATTGCTAGCACTCACCCTAGCAAGAGCAGTGCTTCGCAGAATCTACCACCGGATCGGAAACGCGACCCACTGAGAAGATCCGACGAGAAACTCAGTGGGCTGTATCTGTGGGTTAATTTACTCGCCGAACCCTTCGTTGCAAGCGACGGGTTCGACAAGAATGATGACCGGGCGAATGTTTACAAACCCTCAATTGTCGTGAAACCCACGTTTTTGAATATTGTCAAAATCAAAATCTGCTAAAACTTTAACTGCTAGTTAAAGAACTAGATTTTATTGAATTAGAATTTTAATTAGATTAAAGTAGTGATTCTAGAACGAATCATTTACTTTGCCGAGAAACAAGAGCAAAAATAATAAGAGTAAAGTTAATCATAGTGTATTTGTTAGAAACAAATATGTGGGTATTGATGGGAATTAAAAACACAAGTTTTTTTTTTGTGAGAAATATTTTATTTGCAGTTGTAAAACTGTACAAGTCCTAACAAAACTATAAGTTATATTAAAAATTATGGACCTCGCATGGCACTGCTGATAATATCGCCACAACAATATAAATGTATCTATACGTAAAAATTCCAAATTTCAAAAATTCCTCAGTCATTTACAACAACATTGACAATCGCCATAAATAAGGCCACATCTATACAATACAGTTTTGGCATTAACATATTATGTATACATGGAGGAAGATATACGTTCGTTATATTAAATAATTACTAATAAAATTTTTGAATTAAGAAAGATTACGAAAAATGTTACCAGGAAAAAAAAACATAACATTTTAATGTAAAAAATAATTAAAATTGGAACACATTACAAATCAATCAATCCTTATTCTATTAATGTACATACACAGGGGAGTATATTATATGTACATTTTTAAAGCACCTCGTTTTACACTGGCGTTCTAATATCAGTTTTTGTTCTGGGTACAAACAACCAATCATACGTGATAGGTGCTGTGGAACTCAACATTTCATTATTGAAACTTATGCACGTTTGAGTTCCAAACCACCTATAAATATATGATTATCAATTAAAAGCATAATAACATTAAAATAACAATGGTTAGTATTCAATTCACTAAACAGTTATAACAGAGAATGCGGTAAATCTAGTGAAAACAAAGTATGCTCCTACGAGTACCTACCATAAATCTTGTGAATTCTTTTTATTAGCGATAAATTATGAAAAAAGTCAATGGATAAAAACGTTTACAAGAAATTTTGAATTTTTTTAGCTTGCGTCTAAACTACGTTACATTATATTTTGAAGATTCAGTCAAAACCTTGACATCAATTGAACTTTTCTATCAGACTAATTAATACGGGTTCCGTTCAAAATATCCCGTAGCAGGTTTTGTTTGAAAGTTAAATTTTACAATATATATCTTTTAGTATATGGATTTAGATCATCTATCTGTATTCGTTAAAGATTGTGACTCGTGAATAGGGAATATGGAAAAATGTTTTTTTTTTTTTCGAAATGCAAACAAAACGAAATGCACGGACGTGATGGAAATATAGAAGTGTTTTGTTTTCAATCCCAGCACAGAGAACTGTTTCTTTTCAGTTGTAATATTTATTACCATTACATAAAATTGTGAAATAAATTCAATCGAAGTGAAATTATATTAATCACAAAAATTCGTTAGAAAACATGACATCTTTAAAGTATAATTTTTTTATTAATACTGAAATAAATAAATATTAAAACTTTCGTTTTTTATAAATCTCAACGCTATTCTTTTTATTATTTTGATTACTCCAATTTAAACATTAATTATAAGGTCACTTTCTAATGAGCAAATTATTATATTATAATATTATATTATTTAGAATATTTTTACAGTAACACCTTTGACACCTGTCATTAATGACAATTTATTAATCAAAAATGTTTTCTATACGAAGACAGTCCTTCGTTATTGTGAAATCTAAGTAACATGATATTTAAAAAATAACTATATTACACATTTAGTATAAAACCTGGCGAACAATCTTTATTCACAATAATGGCTGACCGTTTAGGAAATCTTAGTCAAAAGCGCTATTCGATTTAAGTTTTTTTTTTTAAATAAAATGCTTTAATGTTTCTTTATGATCTCAAACAAAATAATCATATTATTCATAATTAAATATACATGTTGTTCATAAACATTCAACAAACTAAACTAGGTTAACACGATTTTTATTCGAATTAATTTAATAGATGTAATATATAAATAAACACATTATGATTGCTGATAATATAGATGACAATAAAATCAAAATCATAACTATTCATACGACACATGTGAAATGTTAAAAATTGAAGAAAAAAAAACGTTTCTTTGATTTTTAATTTATCAAAAAACACAATCTTTGCTGTTGGTTAATTAATTATCAAATTGAATTAAGACTAAACGCGTCGCCTTGAATGCGTTTCAATTTACTAAATAATTTCAGTGGAGACATTCATACTTTCATTGCAAACAACAGACCGAGTTAATCATACATACATACAAAAATGATGTACCGAACTTTGAAAGGACAATAAAGCTTTATCAATCATTAGTCAATTAAATCTCATTGTGCATTGTTAATTTAGAGGTCTTCAGTCACCTTTACGATTGGGACCAAGGAATTGGTATTTCAAATTTACAAAATTTTCATACAACTACGGTTCGATCGATAAAGCTTACCGTCCACTGGCTCGACGAAGCGAAGCGCGTTCGCTCGTGTTAGCTTCAGATCGGCCGCGTGAAGTTCGCCGGGAACATTCCTTTTTCATTGGTCGTTTCTTTGATGCCCATCAGCCAGCCCTCTTCCTGCGTTCGTCATCAAAATAATAAGCACACACTCTTGACAAAATGGCAGATGACATGTTTTTACATAAAAGGGAAAAGGTTCTCACCAAGGTGGTCGAAAAATTATCAAAAATGCCTCATGTAATTAATCGACGCCCCTTTAAATGTATGACTACATGGAATAAAACAAATTCGCTTTCTCTGTCCCTATGTATGCTTAAATCTTTAAATCTACGCAACGGATTTTGATGCGGTTTTTTTTAATAGATAGAGTGATTGAAGAGGAAGGTTTATATGTATAATAACATGCATTAGATAGTGGAGAAATCAATAATAAATTACAGTTTCCGAAGCGAAGCGAGGGCGGGTCGCCAGTGTGTCTATATATCGTACCTGTTCATCGGGATCGTCGTATTCGACGACGCGTATGATGTCGCCGACTTCGAACGAGAGCTCGTCCGAATCCTCGCGCGTGTACCGGTATGTGGCTCGCACGCGATACAGCACGCCGGGCGGCAGGCCGGCTAGCGTCGCTCCTGCAGTGGACAACCGCTTTTACGACATACGCTCACGGCACGGCTTACTGGTGGTACGACCTCTTCTGAATCCGCACGGGTAGGTACCACCACCCTGCCTATGTCTGCCGTGGAGCATGCGTTTCGGTTTGAAGGGCGTAGCAGCCGTCGTAGCTATACTGAGACCTTAGAACCCATATCTCAAGGTGGGTGGCGGCATTTACGTTGTAGATGTCTATGGGCTCCAGTAATCACTTAACACCAGGTGGGCTGTGAAGTCGTCCACCCATCTAAGTAATAAATAAAAAAAAACAGGCACAAAAATATTTTTTTTTAGCACAATACTGCCTTATATTATAAAACATTGTGTGAATTATTTTAGCTTTAGTTCACGATTAAAATAAATAATATAAAATAAAATATATATTTTGTTAGTAATAAATATTTGTTTTGTTTATTATTTATTATGGCAATGTTTGTTTTGTGGTTTTACTCAGACGAATGGGCATACCTACACTACCTAAGCTATAGATTTATTTATCTCAGTAACTATAATTAATGATGGAAAACAATTTTCGTGCATCCGAATCTTGCGGAAGATTCTACGTCAAAGTTCCTTGTTAAAACTTATAGTAATAGGAAAACAAATTCGCCCGCGATTTCTTCTTGCTTTTATTTTATTAGAACCTAAATTTGAATTTATATAATATCATACATACAATAAGTTAGTCGAGTGCGTATAAAAACTGTAAAGCGGATAAGTGCAGACAATACATAAAAATATCAACACAGAAAAGAAAAACACAAAAAAAAACGTACACAAATGAAAGACATACCATTACAATGAGCTATAAATAAAATACATTTATTATTTAATGATAATATATATACCAGTGATAAAAAAACAGTAATTTCTTGTTTTTTTTCATGGCAACACTACGATCAAAAGTCTATGCCTCTATGGTTGGTTATACATAGATTACTCGTTTCATGAAGAAGATAACATAAAAATCAGTTTGCTGTGATGCCACTAATATCTAAATTAAAATATTTAACATTTCTAAATATATAAATATTTTTTTAAATTACTTAAATATGTTCAATCTAAGAACTATTGCGGCAGTTAGCGAATGTTGCCCAAAAACATTTTCTCTCATGACATTTCTATAGAATGAATGTAAAGAAATTAACATGTCGAATGCTCGGCCAAAAGGACCACGGGCAGAACGCACGGTTTTTTTTTTTTCATAACACATTATTGCACCTTCATCGTGGAGGTAGTTCGCGACCACGTGCTTAGGTACATGCGAGTGCACAAGTGATCTCAACAATCACACAAATAGATGTCTATTCGTTATGCTATAAAGTCATGTCAGTACTGTACGAACACTCACCGACTGGTATGTCGTATACCTCCTCGGCGTTCTCACTGTTTCGCTTTTCGTTCTTCTCGATTAAATTCTGTTCGACATTTGTATGTTTATTTGTTTCTTCGTTATTATTCATTTTCTCGACGACTGTAGTAGGTCCTGAGGGAAGTTTTTTATTCGTCTACTATTTTGGATAATGCGAAAAGCGTTTTTCTTTTTTGGACAAACTACATTATGGATTTTCGTTTATTAAGGACACGTTAAAGATTGATTATTTTTTTATAGGGCATGCTTCTATCTACGACAACAGCTAAATTTGTCTAATCCGTTTTAACCAGTTTATCCGGTAGTTAGGCTTTGGAGTCGACTCTCGATCTTGCATCACAACGATACAAGATTTTGAGACCGAATGAATCTAAAAAGCATACCTGATGACGTAGGATCTCGTCGCCGCGTAGTAACGAGTACCAGGAGCTTATAACTTACCGACGGGTATGTCGTAAAGCTGTTCGACTTTGTTGTCCGTTGCGGGCTCGCTGCTATTGGTCGTTTCGATTGTGGGGGGCGGAGTCTCGGGTTTAACGGTTTCGCTGTTGATCGGCGTTGGTTCTTCGGCAACCGAGACGGGTTCTTTGGCGACCGGAGCTGGTTCTTTGATGGGCGTTTCGAGGTCTTTAGGGTCCGGTGCGGTCTCTTTGACCGGAGCCGACTCTTTGTTCCCGGAGAGCGTGGGGGAGTCGCCGTTGAGCGCGGGGGAGGGGGGCGCTACAAGAACATGCACACACGACACTCAAACACATGCAGACTCAGCACACAACGTACTTTGCGATCGAAGCATGAGATAGAATACGCAATTATTATTTTTAAAGTAAATATTCTTTATCATCACTGAGATTTATTATTACAATTTTCGATCGCACAGTACACAGTTTTTCACAAATGAAAGCTTCCAGACGGCTTGCACTTTCTATGTTTTTTTAATCTTTGGTATGAAATGATACGTTGTAAATTAGTGCAGTAAATTTGTTTATTTTGCTTATGCGAAAACGGTTAGTCAATTTCGTATCGATTCGATTATCACAAACGACACAAAAGCAACACAATATAATTAGTATTGCACTATTGCTCATAATTGCGTTTTTTTTTCTATTTATTTATGCATTTTACACACACCTACACTATGTTTTTTAGTAAACAAAATCGATTTTTTTACTTCAATATTTGTTTTATCCGACCCTATATTACCAGATGTATCTAGATGGATAAATTCCCTGAACGACCTTTTGGACTATGCAAATTTGTAGCTTGAATGTCTTTAATTTTCATCGCAATCATTAAAACTTATACCTTCACACTTTCGAAATAAAGACCAAGTTTCCATGTCGAATCTCTTGCAATTGTTTTCCAATACAACAATGTTTTCCTACTTATAAGAACGTTAAAAGGACCTCGTGTAAACTATTGTTTACCTTACTAATATTGCTTTAATTACAATTTTGTTAACGTATTATTTATATCGTCCAAGATATAAATGTGTTATAACAATTTGTGGCGCGATTGACCGCCTTCCCTAAATCGTACTTTATAATAAATGAATATTATAAAATATGGTGTACTCAACAAACAAACAGACTCTTCAAAACCTATACTTATTTATTAAATGTTAAATTGATCAATACTAATAGTGACGTCACTTTTTAATCGTAAATTGATCATTAGTAGAGTGACGTCATTCAGTCCAAGATGGCAGCGTTATCCACAGCTGTGATGTTCGCAGTAAACACTTAACATGAGACCTTAAATAAAAAATAAAGTCTAGAAATCTATATAATAATATATAAAAATGAATTGCTGTTCGTTAAGTCTCGCTAAAACTCGAGAACGGCTGGACCGATTTGGCTAATTTTGATTTTGATTGTAGATAAATATGAAAATGCTCGGAATCAAATAAAAATAACAATTTTGTTTTCCCTCTGATGTGTCCCCCGTCGGACGGATTCCTTTTGTTTGTTTTAAGTTTATTTTATACAAAAGCAGGTCTTCTATTTATCTATTTGCCTCAGCACTACGAAGTCTGCCGGGTCAGCTAGTATGTTTTATGCAAAAATAGACGGTAGTTAACGCAATATACTATTCGAAACGTCGGAAATATTTTCCGTGAAACCGCAAAATAAGTTTTGATTGAGAGTTCCCGTCCTATTTGGGCCAGTCATAATATTATAATAAACCTAAACCACGGCTTCGTGAACTTTGCCGTCATATCTAACTAAATTGCGCTCTTTCTGTCTAGCTTGGAACAAAACATTAATGTATTGCATTTTTTGTTTACTTTTTGTTCTCTGTAAGTTGCTTAACTTAAAAAATCAATAGAAATGACTACGGTTTTGTGACATAGTCATACTATAGTTTAAAAAATCAATAGAAATGACTACGGTTCTGTGACATAGTCATACTATACTATATTTTTGTCGGATACCCACTTAATCCAATGGTCATCTTTTGTTTCAAAGACGACATCATCATCGACGCGGTAGACGGGCAGAGCGCTCATTCGCTCCTTCAGCAGTGTGCTTAGTGCGTAGTTTTTTAACGTTCTCGATAGCGTCAAAGTTAACTCCAATTTGTATGGAGTTGAAACGTTTGCCGCTAGGGGCGCTGTTCCAACTCCATACAAATTTGAGTTAACTTTTACGCCAACCTACTGAGTTTTTCGCCGTATCTTCTCAGTGGGTCGCGATTCCAATTCGGTAGTAGATTCAGCGAAGCACTGCTCTTGCTAGGGGTAGTGTTAGCAATTCTCTCAGGTTGAGCCCGTGAGCTCACCTACCGGTTCGCGCGAAGTTGGAATAGCCCCTTAGGCAACCAACGACTAGGTAGGGTGCACGTGAATGAAGTGAAACTTCTTTTTGGATGTGTATTATGGTGGTTTTCTTCATTTTTCATCCTTAAATCAAATTGCTCTTGTAATAGGGAACACTGTGTATAAGACATGCGACATCTTCAACATTTATATTATGTATATCTATTGCGAATTATAGATGGAAAAAGAAATATATGTATATTTTTAAATACTTCATTAAAATATTGGACGCTAATCGTTGCTAATGCTCGCGTTGTCCTGTAACAGGTATATACTACGCGCGTGCGTTCGAGTGCCGCGCATTCTCTCTTGCTTTGTTTCTTTCTATTCCGTGGTAGCGTTAAACGTTTAACGCACTCTTGTTGGAAGTCGCATTAGAAGTTTCACTTCAAAAAGAAAAAGTGTGTGTGTGTGTGTGTGTGTGTGCAAGTCACACACGGTAGAAGTGAAACTTATAAATAAGATATAGATATAAATACACTGATTATCCCACTACACAGGAGCATACATACATACATATGGACAATGTTTAGTAGACGATAGTGAGGATGCTACGAAGAGTCGCACAAAGAGGAGACCGAGAACGTCTAATGTGTTCTATCTCATTCTCTCGCCGGCTGAATCCTATATATACATTTATGTGTTTGCGTCCCTATGGACTTATTTTTTCGTTTCATCGACTTTGAAATCATAACGATTCTAAAGAAGTTTCACTTCGAAAAGTTACGCTATCGAGAACGTTAAAAAACTCGCACTAAAATGCTATAGTAGTACAGTAAATGCGTTAGCTAGGTGTGCACTCACTCTGCACGGTGTTGGTGTGCGCGGCGTTCCCGTTGTGCGCGGGGGCGGCGGGGAGCGCGGGCAGCGGGGGAGGGGACACGTTGTTCGCCTTCTTCGTGTACGAGCCGCGCTGACAGTCGTTCGCTAGCTTGTCCGTTACTGCTTCTAGTTCAGCGAACACCTGCACGCAGTGGACGTCAAACGATAGATGAAATTGCGGGTAGGTATACCACCAGTAATATTAAAATATTTTCTACTCAACGCCCATGTGAATAGAATCGTAATTACCTTGGAGCTTTCGAAATGGAAGACCTGCTCGGCAGAGAAGAGTGTTTGCAAGTTGTTGACGTAGAACAATACCCGGGAGTCGTACAGCGCTGGCAGCTCGTCGTGCAGTTCGGAGTTCAATATTTCGTAGGTGCGTTTGGCCTCTTCGAGCTGTTCGCGTCCCTTCGTCACCTGTAATTGAAAATTTGTTTTTCTTTTTTTGTTCCTACCTAAGCTGATAGCCTATCAGCGTCGCTTTAATTAGTAGGTGAGCTCACGGGGCTTAAACCTGATGACGTTGCTAACACGAACCCTAGCAAGAACCGTGCTTCGCAGAATCTACCACCGTATTAGAAACGCGACCCAATGAGAAGATCCGGCGAGAAACTCAGTGGGCTATGTCTGAGGGTTAAGTTACTCGTCGAACCCGTCGCTTGCGACGAAGGGCTCGACGAGTAACTTAGGATACGAGGAGTCGGACTTAGTAACGTAAGTAGTCGGACGGAGTAACTTAGGATACGAGGATACTTAGGAGTAACGAGGACGATGACCGGTGCTTGAGGTACCTAAAAGCACCGTTAGTGGATCGGGAGGATCCGAGATGACGTATTTGGGGCGACGTCGACTTCTTTCCATTCTGTCCGCAGGATCGGGAATGTAGTTACCGGCGGCCACGATGAGAGGGTTCTTATGTCGTGCCGCTTTATCAAAGTGGTGAAAATTGGACTATTCAAACCGGAAAACGTGGCTGGTCCGTGGCAAGAACAATCCGGGTGTTAGTGCCTACCTCGTTCTGAGTACAGATGAGTATAGCTCTCATTCAGAACAAACGTATTTGTGAAAGCTCATAATACGCCTTAAAGTTTAGTCTAGGTAGAATAATGATAATAATAATAAAAAAGGCATTATGACATATGACCGATTTAAATGTATATCGTCACTACACCGAGCCTGAGGGCGTCCTGCACTACGTTTGCCAATTTGCGGCCTCCACTCATGAACACCCCCCCAGTTTACCCCAACGGTTATCGGTTAACCCCTTGAATAGGTACCAATCGCAATTCGCCCAATACTTGCCATAAAGTATTGTGCAAGTGTCGGCAACTCCAACCAAAAAAGTATTCATATTAGCCCTGGCGGTAGGACCTCTTGTGAGTCCGCGCGGGTGGGTACCACCGCCCCGCCAATTTCTGCCGTGAAGCAGTAATGCGTTTCGGTTTGAAGGATGGGGCAGCCGTTGTAACTATACTGAGACCTTAGAACTTATATCTCAAGGTGGGTGGCGCATTTGCGTTGTGGATGTCTATGGGCTCCAGTAACCGCTTAACACCAGGTGGGCTGTGAGCTCGTCCACCCATCTAAGCAATAAAAAAAATAAAAAAAATATTTTTGTATACTTTAATGACTATACATACTAATACTAATGACTTATACATATACATACTCTAATGACTTAACAGGGTATTCGAATTGTATAAGTTCTTCGTACAATACATTTACCATATAATCGCAATCGCCGAACAAATTTGTGCTCGTCTGTATTTGTGCCTATAATAGTTAGTGCCTATTGATCGTTTAGAGACGCATGTCTGTGTGTGTGTACACTACCTTTACGTCGTCCCTTCTTTTAGCGGCATTCGCCTGTAAGTTCTGGAAGCTGTGCCTTTGACTGTCGTAGTCCACGAGTTTGCGACCACGTTTCTCGATTTTTTTCTGTAAATTAATAATAATTATGATAAATTGTATATTAAAAAAAAATTAAATACTCTAAGGAAAGCAGACCTAGGAAGTGGGCGTGGCCTGCTGACGTAATACAGCAGCGACTTCAGACTGGTCGGAGTTGAAGAGGGGAGTTGAGGACACCACTAACATATTGCCTCGTTCACGGCCTCTTTCTGATCTCGGCACCAGGGATAGACGGACGTTGTACATTCGCGTGTCAACTTAGTTACCCACATTTTGTCATTAGTATTTAAAATCAATAATAGTTGAAAATTGTATTTTGTATCGTTCTAATTATATTTTTTTAATATTTTGAGTCGTGATTTCTAATTATACATTGAATATTGAACGAAAACAACATTACGCGCATAAACAAAACAAAACAAAAGGCGACCTAAACGGACCTGAGTTTTCTTTCAGCGAGTCCCAAATAAGCTACAAATAGCTCTAAATATAATATTTTGTATAATAAATAAAAATATTTTGGGGTAATAATTAAAAAAGTTCCCCGACCGCTGGTCTAATATCTAGTATGAATGTAATATGATATTAAATCGCATTTATTGGTATTGGTTCACGTCATTTCGCCAACACTCACTGAAGCAGCATTAGATATGCCGTACTTGAATTGTTATTTTCTTTTGGACTTGAGAACTGATTTAGGTGAAATTAAAAGATGTTTATTTTTTGAGATACCACTTGGCGTGTGTCTTCTGATTTTTTTTTCCTACCTAAGCTGATAGCCTTGAGAGGCTATTTCAGCGTAACCGTGGGTCTTCTGAATTAGCAATCGTATAGTTTTATAGGATAGTGGGGTTCGAGAATAATATTCTTATCCAATAGCAACCACACACGTTTTTAGCGTCAAACAAAACTCGATTCTAAGTGGTCGCGAACATTTACACAACATTACCAATATAACCTCTTGTGAGTCCGCACGGGTAGGTACCACCACCCCGTTTATTTCTGCCGTGAAGCAGTAATGCGTTTCGGTTTGAAGAGCGAGGTAACCGTTGTAACTATACGGAGACCTTAGAACCCATATCTCAAGGTGGGTGACGCATTTACGTTGTAGACATCTATGGGCTCCAGTAACCACTTAACACCAGGTTAGAGCTGAGAGCTCGTCCACCCATCTAAGCAATAAAAAAAAATACAGATACAATAATTTCCAGGATCGACATCCCTAGAATTGCAGATACGTGAACACTCACCCTGACTTCGGGGAACTGGTTCGTATACGTGTTGAGCGGTATGAGTACTTGGTCGCCGAGTTTGTGCGAGAAGTCCTGCCAAAGGACCTCCATGTTCTGAGCTTGGACGTACAGCAGGTCGTGACCTGACCAGCCGCTCTCGTAAACCTCCGTGATCGCTTCCATCAGCGACTTCGAAGCTGTCTGCGCCGCTGGAAAGAGGACGAATCCTTTTAAGAACAGTGACGTGTCTTTGTAAAATGACGTAGTAATTTATTTCCGTGATGGGTTTAAGGAAAACTTAGATTTAACTCTCTCACCATCATACTCTTTCACTGGTCCACATTTTAATACCAGTAGTTGTTATAACTACCTGAATATTTTTCTTGTTATTAGAAAATAAATCGATTTTGACAATTGAAAATTGCTTAATCGATTTCTAAATTTATTTCTATTTTATTAGGATATTGATACGACAGTAAAAGTTACGGTCAAAATGCCACAAGTATGTTATTCACATAATAAAAGCATTAAAAAAATTATATTCAAAGCTACATACCCGTACGAAATTTTAATGAATAGTATATTTATCTCTTTAAATTCCTTTTTTTGTTCTTTTGACTTGGTTGTTGATAGTTATTAAAAAAAAACTCTCATTTTTAGAGGATAGCTCAGGTTATAAAGCAAAAAGAATCATCAGATAAACATAACTTGGTCTATTTTTAAATACCTCGTATACATCTTATGTAATTGTTGAACTCCTTCTGCAACCTGGTGGACTGCTGGTGCTGTCGGTTGAAATTCTGTAGGTGCTCTTCGAATATATCGTCGAGAGTCCGGTCGACCTTGCCCAGGTTCTGCAGGAGCTGTAACAGAATGATCAGAATCATATAATTTTACGCCCTTGTTTAGTGGTATATCAGCATCATAATTGGTTGCTCTTGGCAGAGCAGTTGTGGTCATGTGGAATTCTTGCTTATTAAAGCCACTCGTAAAGTGGGGTTTCAGTAAGGTGTTCCTGATCAGTCCAGCGCATGGGTATTCGCTGAAACACTGTTGCATCGCTATATACGAATGCACCGGACGTCTTATCCTTTAGGCCACGACGACTACTAATAGTTTTTTGATGGATATATGCAGATGATAGATCTATCAATGTGAATCTTTTAATGTCTTTTCACCAACTTCCATAACTTTTATTATTTTGATCTAATATCCTCAACTAGAATCATCGGTTTACAAATACTAAATAGACCAGTTTCTTATTACGAGTTCAAAACCACATTTACATATTTATTCAAAGTGATAAATCAATGAAAAAAAATTTACTCTCCAATAATGTGACAATCATATATATATATATATATATCAATCACTAGAATATACTTTCAGAGCCCTAATAACAAATTAAACTGGAATAAACAAAATACCAGAAGACGATCTTCGAACATTTCCTGCATTCGACCATGTTCGAAATCACAAGCGTATTAAAGTTTGTTAATCTTCTCGAATAAAGATCAAAGTGTTAAAATTTACGATCAAGACTTGTACGTTGTTTATCGGCGAAGTTAATTCCGTAATTTAAATCACAAAGAAGTGCGTTCGCTAACTTTATGTCTAAGGCAAGGTCCGCTCGAGTCCAGCAGTTCGCAACTATACTGATATAATTTTGGTATCCAATTCAAACAAACCTTCCCCAATTATTATAAAGTCACCTTTTTTTTATTGCTTAGGTGGGTGGACGAGCTCACAGCCCACCTGGTGTTAAGTGGCTACTGGAGCCCATAGACATCTACAACGTAAATGCGCCACCCACCTTGGGATATAAGTTCTAAGGTCTCAGTATAGTTACAACGGCTGTCCCACGTTTCAAACCGAAACGCATTACTGATTCACGGCAGAAATAGGCAGGGCGGTGGTATGTACCTACCCGTGCGGACTCACAAAAGGTCCTACCACCAGTAATTACGCAAATTGTAATTTTGCGGGTTTTATTTTTATTACACGATTTCCTGTTGTCTACAAATTTTACTTCTTACAAACAATAGTACCTACTAGGCTGTTTTTTTGAGCTTAAACAAAGTCAGATGAATTAACGTAGTTTAAATGGTTTCCTGATTTAAAAAAACCTAGCACTTAAAGTTTTTGTTATAAATCGTTAAAAAGTTCCCTGCCAATTGCGATTTCGTCAGCACGTCTCAAGATGGCTAGCGGCATTTATGTAATGCCTGTGGGCTCCGATATCTACTCAATTACAGGTGGGCCTACCTATATTTAATCTTAACAATCAAGAAAACCACAAATCGTCTTTTCGCATTAAAAGTGTACAATTTCCAAAAATATTCGAAATTGAGTTAATATTCGAAATTGAGTTAATCATTTGGTATCGTCAGTATTTTTCTCATAAATACTGTTAAAAGAGCGTAGTTTAGTTTTAGTTTTTTTTTAGTTTACCTATATTTTGACTACTATTAACAAAATTAATACATAATTTTATCTTACTTTAAAAGACAGATAATGTAACTTGTAAAATTAAAACATTATCCTGTAAAATTAGTAAGTTTTGAGATTATACAGTTTTAATGCGAGAAGACGAAATGTCGGATATTTAAATCACTTATCAAAGAAGACACATATTTTACAGACGAGCATACGGCCCACCTGATGGTGTGTTACCGTCGTTCATGGACATCATCAATACCAGGAACACAGTCGCGCCTATATTTTTTGTCGGGCAAAGGTCTGAATCTTATACGAGGTGCCCGAAAGCGGTGCGTGGGACTTGACGATCTGCATATTTTGGGAGCAGACCGCGGGTTCAAGAATGTTTTTGGGGCCCTACCCACCAAACTAGGCAACACAGCCAAAGCTCCTGACAATTTTTGACGCATCCTACGTTGCTAATGTGTTTGAATTTACGTTTGTTTATAAAAATTCCCATGGTCGTTAGTGCTAATGTTCGCCCAATTATATAAACTAGAGGTCCCGCAGTAGTTGAAATTCGACTATCATTAATTAGAATTGTAAGTTTGTACACTATTATGTATTTTACGTCAAGAACAAAAGTTTGACAATAAAGAGTATGCATGCGTGTGTGCGTCAAATACATGGTATGTAGTGTGTGTAATGTTTTCTTTATTGATTTAATGTATCTTTTATGCATTGCAATTGTTATGCAAAAAAAATTAGCATTGTGCACTTCTTCTCTATATTCTCTACAAGTGTGGAAAATTTCATACTCCTCCGTCCGCGCAATTTTCATAAAAAGGGATACAAAGTTTTTGCTTCACGTATTAATATATAGATTCGTCATCTTCAATTACACTTTATGTAATATTACATTCTCTATTTTGTAATATTTTTATGATATCTTTTAGTAAAAGTGGAAAAAAAATGTACTTTTTTTTCAGACTAAACCCAACCTTGAAACGAAGGAGTACACACATCATTGCCTATTTATATTGCGATTTTGGATGGTATGAATATCTTAGCTAGTTGTGGGCGTCTATGACATTAGCGTTAATGACCTGCTTCCTTCCGACTAGATAAAGCGTTAACTTGACTACAACAACGAATGTACTAATCATTTTTAATGGTCTAAAAACATCTTGTAAAATTCCATTTAGTTTTGTAGATAAATGATAATCAATCTAGACATTATGTAAGCTTGAATTCACATTTTATTTACTTTTCAATTAGAACTTGAACGTAGCTTACGTCTAAGTATATTCCATATCCATGTTATAACCTTTTTTTTCAAAAATAATTACATAGTCTAAAAATAATAGTATAGAGACCAAAAATAAACATTAATTAAATTTACAGACCAATCTTGTGGCTTTTATGTCGAAATATTTTTATTTTATTTTATTGCTAAGATCGGTGGACAACCTGACAGCCCACCTGGTGTTAAGTGGTTACTGGAGCCCATAGACATCTACAACGTAAATGCGCCACCCATCTTAAGATATAAGTTCTAAAGTCTCAGTATAGTGACAACGGCTGTTCCACCCTTCAAACCGAAACGCATTACTGCTTCACGACAGTAATAGGCAGGGCGGTGGTACCTACCCGTGGGGACTCACAAGAGGTCCTACCACCAGTAAAAAGTTATTGACATCTTTATCTTACATGAGACAAATAAAATTGAATCGACATACGGATTCTCAATCGTGAATTAGTCATTCAGTACCTGTAGATATAAGAATCAGTTTCGATGCACCGCAAAGGTTCACAATGAGCGTTTCGCGGACAATGAGATTCAGCAATTGTCGTCGCAAGGTCGAAGCTATGACGGATCGGATGCGTCCTCTTACGAAACTCGAGGTTATCCGCCGAGAGAGCTCGTTCCAAATGAATAGAATACCTCCATTGGATACGTGAAAGTCGACAGTTACGTTGTTTTAATCAACCAGTCAACTTTAAATACACTTGCGACCAATTTTTTTTTATTTTTTTTATTGCTTAGATGTGTGGACGAGCTCACAGCCCACCTGGTGTTAAGTGGTTACTGGAGCCCATAAACATCTACAACATATATGCGCCACACACCTTGAGATATAGTTCTAAGGTCTCAGTATAGTCACAACGGCTGCCGCACCCTTCAAAAAGAAACGCATTACTGCTTCATGGCAGAAATAGGCGGGGCGGTGGTACCTACCCGTGCGGACTCACAAGAGGTCCTACCACCGGTAATTACGCAAATTATAATTTTGCGGGTTTGATTTTTATTGCACGATGTTATTCCTTCACCGTGGAAGTCAATCGTGAACATTTGTTGAGTACGTATTTCATTAGAAAAATTGGTACCCGCCAGCGAGATTCGAACACCAGTGCATCGCTCGATACGAATGCACCGGACGTCTTATCCTTTAGGCCACGACGACTTCANACCACCGGTAATTACGCAAATTATAATTTTGCGGGTTTGATTTTTATTGCACGATGTTATTCCTTCACCGTGGAAGTCAATCGTGAACATTTGTTGAGTACGTATTTCATTAGAAAAATTGGTACCCGCCAGCGAGATTCGAACACCAGTGCATCGCTCGATACGAATGCACCGGACGTCTTATCCTTTAGGCCACGACGACTTCATAGGACTTTACACTTTGTTTCAAAAACTTATTTCCATTTGACTGTAACTCATATTAATAAAAATTGAAAGTTTGGTATTCAATTTCGTTTGCGTAATTACATTGAGCTGTACGCCCATAGCTTCAGTAAGCATGGGTTAACTTTAAGTACAATTGCGACCAATTAAGACTTTACACTTAGTTTCAAAAACTTATTTTCATTTGACTGTAACTCATATTAATAAAAATTGAAACTTTGATATTTAATTTCATTTACGTAATTACATTGAGCTGTTTCTATGGGCTTCCGTAAATATGAGTTCGTTTATACTTCTAAACTAAACAAACAACAATTCTATAAAGCGCACATGTCGAAAATTTCCGAACGAACGACACGGAATTCCTGATAAGAAAACCTAATGAATAAATTTGATGCGTTCGCCGCTTAGACAGTGAATTTCAAATGAAAATAAACCTGTTAATGCGATACGTCGTGCAAACGATAACGTTCCATTGTAATGTCATCGACCGTCGGTCATCCATTGTCTTCTACAGCACGTATGATATCTGTTACATGTACCTACTGTGAAGTGAATGAAGTTGAATACTCGGAAATGAATAGAATCGATCCATTTCGTAACTAGGTTAAAGTAGGACTTGACGATCAATGGAAGCTGTGTCTACGCTCAAATGTTTGGGTTCGATTATCATTTTATAAGACAAACAAGCGCTTCGAAACCATAACTCCGCCATATTTAAATTAAAACTTCATTGTATTGTTATTAGACTGGCTAATGTAATTATCTATACTAATATTATAAAGCTGAAGAGTTTGTTTGTTTGAACGCGCTAATCTCAGGAACTACTGATCCGATTTGAAAAATTCTTTCAGTGTTAGATAGCCCATTTATCGAGGAAGGCTATAGGCTATATAACATCACGCTACGACTAATACAAGCGGAGCACCAAAAAAGAATGTTTCAAAATCGGGGATTTTTTTCCTTTTGAGAGCTTCCGCTGCGTGCGCTGCAGAAACGGTTAAAGTTTCGCTAAAATAATGCATGACAGAATTGTTCCCCTTTAAAGGATCTAAAAAAAGTCCGCGACAGCATATATCTATATGTTAAGGTTGGCTCACTATAACGTTTTTTATGCTAACCAAATTTGTTCAAAAATAAAGCATTATTTGTGAATTATTCCACGCGGAAGAAGTCGCGGGCAAAAGCTAGTAATAAAATACACAACACACAGAAACAAATGGCATAAACTGGAGATACTTGACGACACCCAAAGAGAATGCACAATGGTCAATAACAACGAAGCTGATAAAATCCTTTACAGTTAAATTGTTATGCAAATTTTCATGTTCGGAAGCA